CCCCCCGAACGCCTTATGCTCTTGCAGAAGGCACCATGTTCAATTCCCCAGAGTACCCCAGGGATTTGCTGGGACAGCAGGACCTTTGTGCCTAGGTGCTGCCCAGGAGGCCACACAGGTGACCCCAGCACCACTCTAGCAGCAGTCAGTATTGTAGGAACTGCTGCGGTTTGGTGTGATGCTGACTGAGCTAAGGGAAGGAGAAGGACTTGCACCAAGCATCTCTGGGACTCGTAAGCTGATAAAAATCAAGGCAAATAGGGGTAGATGGGAATCCCAGGTCAGCTGGTACACCACTCCAAGGTATCACCCTGATATGCTGTTTGCATGATGGATATTACAAAATTAGGATAAGTGGGATCCTCTCTATTGCCACAGTTGGGAGGAGAACTGCTCAGCAGAACAGGGTGTGTTCACACGCAGAGGTGATCTGCATCTACGGAACCAGCCCCAAGAAGGGGGTGAGGAAGCAAGTAAGATGTCAATGGTGACCTCTCTCAGGGCTTCTCTTGGGGTCTCAGGTCAGTCTTTGAGCCCTTCCTCACTCTCCAAATGCTGAGGAGGAGAGGGAGAGCAGGGCCTTCTCCACTTCGCCTGCAACTTGCCTAGGCCAACAGCTGATGACGTTTGTCTCCTACCCATTACACCAGCTTTGGGCCCATGTTGAGGTATCTGCTCTAAATAGGTGGCATCTCATCACTGCCAGTGCGAGAGGAACTGAGGTGGAGTGCCACAGGCACAGCCTCAAAGAAGGAAGAGAGCACAGGCAGCAGGGAGCAAGCAGAAACACTGCCCACAGGATCCTGCTGTGTACCTACCTGCCTGCTGCTTTCTCAGCTTTCCCAAAGCTCATCTGGGCCTTGCAAGCCCAGGCATCACGCTCAGCTACCCTCTGCAGCCCTCTGGGGCCCTCATTCTCCACTCTGGTCAGCACAAGGAAGTTGAGCAAACAGGCTTAGGAAGATAAGCTGCCTGATCACTAAGCACTCAATAGCCAGACAGGGCAAACAGAGCCAAGAAGGGAAATATATGCCTCTTTTCAACTATGTTTTTTCAGCTACGAATGACTTTCTTTTATATTGTTTTTTTGTTGCTGTGTTTTGTTTTTTTTATTACCTCTTTGCTCCGCTCATCCAAGATCTCCACAAATTTTGCAGGAAACCATCCTATGAAGAATGGACAAAGAAGCAAGTCTAACACAGAGAAACCTCTAACAGAGACAAGATCAGAGCCCACTGGAAACTGAGAACAAACCAGAGTTCATAAGGTCTAATCCCAAAGAAGGAAGCAAGCAGCCTCAAAATCACAAGAATTAAGGCAATTGCGAGAGGAAACCAATTACAGGACACTGCCCACAAGCAGCAGAGATGACATGCACCCAACCACCCTGCGCCAAGAGGATGGAGACTAAACTTGCTGTTTGCAAGAAGTAACCAGGTAGCTGCACCACTGCTCTCACAGCCTGCTTTAACACTGCCCTTGTCACTGGCAGATGCTCCGGGTAACTGGCAAAGCCTTTGCTGCAAATGTGCCAGAGCAGTTGCTGTGGATGCACAGATGCGCCGCATCCGGCCCCGCTCTCCCCAGTGCAACCCATCCTGCTCTCACCTCTCAGTCCATTCAGCTCTCCCACCCAACAGTGCTCATCCTTCTGGGAAATGATCTGAAAAACAGGGAGTGGAAAACACTGGTTGAAGAAAGTGCAGCGCCAGGAGGGCAACAGCTGCCTGGCTGTGTATGTGCAATGAAGAACTGCTTTCTTCTCAGCTGTTTTGCCGATGTTCTCTTCTCATGTCCCCCAGGGCCTTCAAGGGCAAAAAGCAAACACAATGTTGTCCCTGTTTTCCCCAATTTCAGGTGGGATGCCCACAGCTAAAACACACATGGATGCTTTTACAGTCTTACCAGAGCTTAGTGCGCAGTGTTAAACCGAGACCCAGGTTGGACCAAATCAATCTTTTGCTCAGCTGTATGGCAGCCAGGAAAGGGACTTTTTGGTTGCATTGAGAATGACCCACAAAACAACACTCACAGGAACATACTGCCTCATCCCCAGGCAGCCCCCAGAAACACCAACTGCTTCCCTTGGACTCCTAACTGGGCCCTGAGCTGACTTCCTCCCTTCTTTCCCTGCAGAAGAGGCAGTGCAGTGTCCCAAACAATTTGGGTCTGCATGGTCTTGCCCTGGTCCCTGTCTCACAGGCTGACACACCGTAATGATGTCATTCTTGCGGAAGCCCAGCTCATCGTCATCGTGGCGCTCAAAGTCCAGTAGTGCCTTGGCTCGTCGTCGTCGGTTGCGGGAACAGGCCACATAGTTCTCATGGTCCCGCTGGTGGCTCTCCATGCTGTAGTCTGGAGTCAGATCCTAGCGTGCATGTGGACAAAGAGCAAGGAGGAACGAAAAGCAACAGATGACTCTCAGCTGATCTGCCAAAGCTTGCATGCCCCTCATCCCAAACCTTTTCCCACTCCTAGCAGGCAGCAACCTCCCAGTGCAGCCCTCCTCCACTAGAGATGGGTTAAGCAACCCTCACCCTCCACCCACACACTCCCACATCTGGAGTGTGTGGGCTCGAGGAAGAATGCGCCAGGAGCATTTGAACAGCCCTGTCCTGTGGTGGACGCTCAACGCTCATGCCTGGAGCACACAGCAGTGCAGATCCAGCTGTTCCCACTCACAATGCTGCAGTTCTTGGGATCCACACACTGGAAGTGCCGTGCCACCTGGAGAATGGCTTCACGCAGGTCAGCCACCAGCTCTGTCTGCTTGATGTTCTTGGCTTTCAGTGCCTCCAGATCATCATCCCCTTGGGGAGCCCACACAGCCAGAGGGAAGGCAAGGAATGGAAAACAAGTATGAGGTATTTATTTTTTTGTTAACATTAGAAATTATTGATTCTACAGAAATAAAAAAATTAGAGGTGCCTACACTAAGGCACGTACTTACTGCCAATCTACTCAATAATGTAAATAACCAGCACCAATTTGACCGCCTCAAATTTTAAGGAGCTGGTGTTTCAAACCACATATGGAACTGGAAGATGTCATCTTTGATCTGTCTGGACAACTCTGGACAAGTATACCAAGGTACTGGGTAATCTTAGAGAAGTGTCTACACAGTATAGAGTCAGCTGAATGGTGGCACACAAAACTAGGGAACTTTAAAAAATTCTCATAAACTGAAATTCTCCTGAAACTGAAACAGCTCTCTGTTGAACTACTTCTGATTTTTGTACACCCCACAGGCTGAAAGCATATTCTTCACTGAGTCTTGAAAAAGATTTGATAAACCAAGACAGCCCACTTTCCTCTGTCAGTCTAGAAGTCAGAGCCATGAGAGAAAAGCCACCATCTGCTTAAGACCTTGACCTTCCTATATGTCAAATTTCAAAAGTTTTTGGTGTACAGAAATGGTCATAAGTACAAAGTAAAAGTTACCAAAACATTTTTCAACTGTCACAAATTGCCCAGGAGTTTTGACAGCCTATCTTTATTAATTTATGGAGAAAGATACCTAATGGGATGGATTCTTTAGACAGTTAATGGATCTGAATGCCTTAAAAACTGTGTACATGATGTTTGGGAACGATGAACCATTCGCTTATTTTTCTAAAAAAATTCAGTTTGTTTTAAATTCAAGGTGTATTTTCATGCATCTATTTTTGCGCCCTCTATAATATATAGAGGTAGCTTGATTAACAAAATCAACATTTAAAACAATATTTTTCACTGAACTCCAATTTTTATACAAACACAGCTTTTATGCAAGACCCAAGTAAATCATTGGCTAGCAAATTAGTACTCCATTTATCTTCTAACGGCATTATAGAAACCAATATGAATAAAGTGTGGCCAGAGCTACAGAGCTGCTGCAATGGCTATGTACACATGAAGATTCTGCTTATTGAAATGTGATTAATAGTATCTTTTAATCACAAGTGATCCTAATTAAAAAAGACTAAAACTTTAAGAAAATAAATAGAGGCACAAAATTAGATTTAAAATTATTTTTATAATTGTTTTCTATTTGCTGAATTAAATTACTACAGAATCAGACACGCAGAGCTTGAGAGAAAATTGAACTTTGCTTCTGGACTAGAGAAATTGTAGGGCATATTTACTCCCAGTCCAAGCAATGAAAATTAACAAAAACTCCTCCTCAGTGACTGGGGGTAGGAAACAGAGCATGAAAGAAGTCTAACTACAGATTCAGAGATACAAAGATTGTAAATAGATAGGTGATCATGCAGATGGCAGGGATTCCCAGAAAATCAGTGTTGCTAAAACAAAGCGTGACTAAAGAAGAAACTGCTTAAGCACAGCCACATCAGCTCAGTGGGCTGCCCTCATTTACATAGATCACTGGTCCTTTCTGTCATTCAGTTGCTTCTGGCCGAAATACCATGCTCCTTGCTCTGTACTCAGATCAATCCCACCCAAATACAAACAGGAGATATGGGAAGCAAGTTCCACACTCTCTCACCTTAGAATATACATGATACAGAGGAAAGTAACTGGGGTTTCCAACAGATTCACTTCACTGCACCCGACATGCCTGCACGTGCACTTCCAAAACAGGAAATCAGTGCAGGATCGTGTGAGGAGGCTCTATTCTGAGCCTGCAAAGACTGACCAGCTGCACGCTGTGCAGAGGAGGACTAGCTCTCCTGGATTTCCTTGTTGCAATACCCACCCAACAGGAAAAGGGCAACACACACATCTTGTTCTCCGCCAAACTACCTTTCGCTGTTTCTTCTCTCTATTTCTTCATTCGAAATCTGGTCCACCTCCTTGAATCTCAGCTAGAGAAAGCCCTGGCTGACCTGATCTAGTATGAGCAAGAGTCTGGCTTTGAGCAGGAGAGGTTGGACTACAGACATCTAGACATCCCTTCCGAACAGTGCTCCTGTCCAAATCACTACTAAATCTGCATTCACTCCAAAGGAATAAGAACTAAGTTCCGGGTAAGTTCTTACTCCCACCCAGACAAGGGTACCAGCTCTACACAGTAACTATCACAGGTAGCAGATATTACAGTTACGGTTGTTTGACAGTTCCCAGTATAAGGTGAATTTATCACACACAAGCTTTCCTTCCCCTCAACTTGGGCTGAAGTTTTCCATTCTGGTCATCTGCTGCAGGATGATAACTTCTCTACTTTAACCAATGTTTTAATCACTAAGAACATTGGGTAAAAAGCATGACAGTCACTGTACAGAAACCCCACTGAAATGAGAAAACACTGTCAATCATCTCAGTTCTACCATTGATATATTTTGAAGCTTGAACTTCAAATTTATCTTTGTGTGTGGGTATAACTCTTCATCAGTTTCATAAAGCTACTCAAACTTGGTCAAGGAGACTGAGACACAAGCAAGATGCATTGGGCAGGGAAGTTCCCTGCCGGTTCAGTCTCTACTGACTGTATGATAACATTAAATACAAGAGGTCAGAGTTAGGTTGCACAAGCAACTTTCCTGCATTTCTTCACTTCTGCATGTTTGACTTTACAGCTTCATTGGTCTTCTACGATAACTTTTATATGTAATGCTGTATGTGCTTGTCTTTTTCCGGAAAAAACAATCTCTGTGGTGAGATGTGGCAATTTCAAGAAAGCTAACCAGTTGCAAGGAAGGTGATGACAGTGAGGTTTACAATAGAAAAGGCTATGATGGAGTCACAGAAGCAAGTTACTCTTAAACTCATGCAAAACCTACTCTGGCCCTGTGCTTTCTGGACATATGCTGGCTTAGCTCATAAGCGAGGAAAATTAAGACTCAGAAGTGTTCAAATCATCAAACTCTCAAAGTAAGGGGGACATCAGTGATGTTTGCGTTTATAAGTTTTGACGAGTGACACACTGGACCATCCTGCCCTGTCTCAGATCTTCAGAGATGTTCCTGAACTCAGCAGAGTAAGATCAGGAGAGTACAACATCCAGCCCGTGGACTACATATGGTCTGCCAGAAAACATGTTGGACCTGTTGGTCAGTGCAAGAAGGACATTACAGCTGGGCTGAGCTGCAGCCTGCTGTTAGTCACCATTTAAGGACTAGACATCTAACCTAAAATTCACTTTCTGAGCCCAGACCAAAGCAAGCGAGTAGAAAACTGCACTTCTTCCCTCCCATCCTTCAATTCTGTCTCCCTTCTCTCCTTTTGCTCTGTCCCAGTGTTTCCCTGCTTTGCTCACCCCCTCCCACCTAGGCTGCTATATCCATCAGCACCACATGAAAGGCACAGAATTGTCCTTACCAAAAAGCAGAGAGGTGATGCCAGATTTCCTGCGCTGAGTCCTGCGTCGCACAATCTGAGGGAGAGAGAAGAGAAAGAACAAAGTGCACACATTAGGACAGATTTCAGAAATAAAGCAGTCCTCCACACAGGTCAGCTCTGGGCAAGGGGTCCTGACAGCTACCACTGGAAGGGGCAGGCAAGTGAACTGGCACATTTTAGGCAGGCGTTGTTCCAGTTCTAATGCAGTGAATCAGCTCTACTGCTTGCTCTGCTCCATATGCAATGGGTTATTTATAGTTCAATTATTAGGAAAGCATAATTGAAGTTCAAGAGTCAACCACGATTCAAGTGAATAATTTTAGTCTAATTCTACTTGTTGCCAAAAGCAGTTCTACACATAATTATACATCTAAATTTCTAATTGGATGCCTATTACATTTTAGAATCGCAGGAGGGTCTTGTGATTAGCACACAGACAAGCATCAAGAACATATCTTCCACACAGGCTTGATAAAACAGGAGCTACCCTATCTGCAACTACAGGCTATAGTCAAAGATTAAACACAGGTGCATTTTTTATTCAGCTTCTCAAAGGCTGCTGCTGTTTTCTTACTCTACCTTCCAGAGTTATTTTAGTGTATCTGTTTCTTACTAATGTATTACCTCCAGTTCCTACCCTGCATGCTCCTAGCAAACTCTGCCAAAAGCATCTGCTGTTTCTTTTAGTTACCATTAACACAATGCATCACTTTCCATCATAACTCTCATTAATGATAATTACAACCAACATCAATATCCCTTTCACCTGGGGATTTATCAGCCAGAACAGATCTGACAGCATTTCACTAGTACAGACCTCCTCCTGACTTCCCAGTACCTTTTCTCCACTGGACGACAGAGTCATCCTGGAGCCAAAATCCTCTCAGACGGGAGGACCTTTTCCTCACAAACAGGGATTGGAAGGGAACATGTAAGGGAATGGTAAAAACGCAGCAGCAGAGGCAGGTGGGACTCTGTGCACTCACTTTGGATAAATTGTTGACAGTGGTGCTGGAGTTGAGCAGCTGCCCTTGATCAGCAATGAGGTAGGCCAAGTGTTTGCGACGCTGAGTCTCCACTGCCACATCTGTCAGTGAGCCAGCCACACGCATGGCCTCCCGCAGCAACACATCGGCATCTTCAATCTGACTTGGGATGTCCGAGAGCGTGTTGAAGATTGAGGCAGAGTTCTCCGACTGGATTAGCTCATCCTCCTGCAACGATGCAGTCATTTTGCTATACAGAACAATGAGCATGAGAGCTATGCTCTTGGGGCTGCTAGATGCAATTTTTACATTCAGTGTACAGCCTGGACCAGACACAATGCAGGTACAACTAGACAATTCCATGAAAACCTCAGTAGGAAGAGTCCAAGCTACTTATGGGAGAGGAACAGCATTTTTTACTACTCTACTGCACCGAGATCTGCTCTTAAAATTCTAGCCGGCATGTTGAAGAATCACAGCATCCATCATTGAAATGAAGTCAAATCAGCAAGCAAAGACAAAACAGAAGCTATTCTGCACCCACTGCCAGGATTGGGCACAACAGGGATCTTGCTGGGGACAAGGGAATGGAAGATGCTCATTTTCACAGACTACTGAGCGCCTACCATGTCAAACTGTGCTTCACCTTCCCCTCACTCCCAGGAGGCCCACCCTTACCATTCACACAGCAGACTGAACCACAAAATGTTTTTTTTTTTTTTTTTTGCATAAAAAGGAAAAGATCAGGTGGCTAAATGTAAGCCAGCCAAATCAAAGGTAGTCAGGACAATGCTAATCTCTTGAAGCATTCATCAGTGCCATCAAAAGCATCCCAGACAATCACAGCCTTGGCTCTATATCTCTGCTCAGAGATGGTGCAAAATCAAGAGGCATCTTGGTTTAGCTAAGATGGACTCTCAGGTTAGGAGCTAGACTGAAGAGAGGGGGAGCAGCTGATGGGGTTTAATTATGAGGGAGCAAATGAGGTAGGCAGGGGAAAGAGCAACCTCTGAATCCTGTGAAGTGCCTTGGAAGTTCCTCACAGCCCCCAGTTCTGAGGAAAGCAGGAAGTCACCTTCCCAAGCACATTCCCAAATCACACACAGGAAGTGGATACAAAACCTTCTGGCCCCTAAAACTCAGAGTTAAACACCTAAGTGCTATAAAAGAGGAAGAGGAGGTGGGAATTACCTTCATACTGAGCATGCCCAAAGTGAGCTGGAACAGCACCAGAGAGCCCTGGTAGAAGAAGAGGTCCCAAATACGCAGCAGCAGCTTGATGTGGACAACACTAGCAAAAGAGGTGAGGAACCAGTGCAAGGTGATCAAGGAGAGCTCTGTGAAGAGAGACATGGAAAAGAATAACAACAGAGGAAATCAGCCAACCAGTGAAGATGGCCTCTCCTAAGTGCTGTCCTCTCAGCTTAAAGATTGACCACCCATTGCCTCCATGGCCAGGAGGTTTGCTCCTAGCCTTGGTGCTCTCCTTTTTTGAAACAAGAACAATAATCCTTGTCTGCACGTCACCTTGGCAAGAAAACCTATGGTTTCTAGGGCACACTTTTACCAATGTCATGCTCCTGGAGCAGCTTGTCCAGGCGGGGCAAGTACTGCACAATGAGCTGTCGCAGGACGCGCTGGTCCGTCTGCACACCCATCAGGGTGGTGCTGAAGTAGGAGGCAGGAACCAGTTCCTCAATGATAGCACACATCATCCAAAAGGCATCTTCTTCCTCCAAGAAGAGCAGCAGAGAGGCAGCCACCTAGGATTTTGAAGGAAGAACAGCATGCCAAGCCCGTCCTCAAAGGAGCAGAGCTCTTTCCCCACTTCCTCACACGGAGAGACGGACCAGTGTCTAGGTGACCAACATCTTCCTTCCTCTGCAGCAACTCTCCTGCAGTCTCCACTGAAAGGATTTCTCCTTAGTGTAATGCCTGTCCCTCCCCAACAGATGGACTGAATTCTGCCACATCTTTGGATGTGTTGTGCTAGTCTGCTCTCCCTGCCCTAGGAAAAACATTCCATGTGGAAGGGATTTCCCTTCAGCTCATCTGGAGGCCACAGTGTCTGGCAGCACTGCCTCAAATTAGTTGCCCCAGCATAGTCACCATAGACAAAATGATCCCAGTCACAAAGACAGTCTGAAAGCAGGTTACCATGCCAGTGCCTTGGCAATATCCAATCTCTGGGTAGAGCCAGGCAAGTCCTCGTAGTATCCTGCGTAGCCGTGGCACCCCAATACTGTTCATGTTGGAGAAGCAGGCATTGCTGGGCATCGTGCGAAGCAAGTCCTTTTCAATCTGCCAGACAGCCATGAACAAGGACAGGGTCAGCTTGCAACATCTGAACAATTGCCTTCCACTCTCTGCACTTCCCCAAGGCCCCTTGCCTCAGGGGACTCTGCTTCCCCACACCCATTCAGAAGTCCTTCAGCACCAAAGAAGATAGCCCTGTCCAAGCACCTGGAGTCAATTTATCAGCCTTCATTGACAGGTGGGAAAATGCCAGTGCAGATGGTGACTTGGTGTTTCCCAAGAAATACTTGCATAAACTCAGCCCATAGGTTCACAGCTGAGAACAGCGATGCCTAGTGGTTGGGTATTTCATCTGCTTGGATTTCAAGCAAGGCTTCCTAATAAACCTATTCCAGAAAGAAACCAACAACCTGGCTGTATCTGTGATTGAGAACTTGGAAGTGAACAGCCCACATATTTCCCTTGGGCAGTGTTGTTCCTCTTTCCAACCATTCTGAACCTAACTTCTTGGTGAACGGTAAACATGTGCAGAGCTCACTTTCTTTTGCCATGGCCTTAGTCTCCTCCCACAAAAGGAGAGGTCAGAGGAAGAGGGAAAACACCCTGTAACAGTCTTGTTGGTGTTCAGAGACTTCATGTTTGGGGGAACAAAGACATTCCCTGGAAGCAGCTGCCACTACTTCAACAGAGGTGCATCTATCAGCCTTTCACCCTCCACTTCCCTCAACGAATATCAGGATGTTTGCTGAGATGCAACTGCAGCACTGTTTTCTAGCATGCAAGTAGCATGGGTCCAATCCCTTCCTTGCTGTCCTAGGAAGGAGGGGAGCTGCACAGTTGCTATTCCAACAAAACAAAGGAGAAATATGCCCAACAAGATTAAGCTTTCGCAGGATTCAACCACACGTCCTCTCAACTGTCTCTGCTGCAGGTGTTAGGCAGGCACTCCTTCCTCAACACAGAAAATCTTGCCCTTCTCCCCACTCCCTTGCGGCCAGTCAGCACTAGGCAGTATCTCCTACCTGTTTGGCAGCAATGGTTTCATCATTAGAGCTGTTTTTCACGATGTCCCGATATGACATCTCTGAATTCCTCTTCTTCTGCAAGGCCCCTGACAGGCGCATCCACAGCTGGGGGACAGAGTGAACAGAGATAGGAAGAGTCAATAAGAGAGACACCGAAAGCCATAATCTGGCACACTCTCAGGCAAGAGAAAGTGGTGTCGCTCCGCTGTCTCTTACTCCAGGCAGGAGAGCCTGCCCAGAACAGGCAGCACTCTCACCTGTGGCCTCATGCTGTGCGGAATGCCAGCTAGCACCAGAGAGCGAAGCTTGTCTGAATGTGGTAGGGTGACCTCAATTTTGTCCCAGGTGAGGTCACCCACGTCATGGTTGTGTGTGAATTCCAGATGAGCCTGCCACTTGAGCCTCTGCTGTGGCTCCTCTGTCAGTGGGACACCCAGAAGCTTCCTGGAGCTTGGCTCCACACCATCTGCCTCAGCAAAGGGAAGGGAAAGAAATGGAGACAAGTGAGAGAGGAAACGAACATAGACAAGGTGGGGAAGAGGATGGCCATCTGAAGAAAGCACATTTAAAACATTCGCATCTTCCAGCCAGAGCATGGAAAGGCAAAACTTGGTTTCTAACAGTCTTCTCCATGCAGTAAACTTTATGGTCATAAGCAAAAGGCAGTGGAGCCTTGAGAACTAAGAAGCTGTCAGCAGGCTTCTCGTCTCTCTTACTCATGATTTTGAGCAGAATGTGGCTGGAATTAAACAAGAACCCTGGCAGCAGTCATCCTGCTGGGTTTTGTAAGGCTCTATAAACCAGTCTGACAAAAGCAAGCCTCAGAGGTGGCAAGCAGAAGCTATATGCTCATGCAAGTAATGAGGTGCAAAATGTTAACTTTGGGGATATTTAATCACCAAAAAGAAGCTTTAATAGGGACACCTCCAAATTCACAATGAGAGTGCACCTTAACCTGAGGTTGGCTTTCTAAAATAGACCTTTTAGCACAAGTACAGGTTTGATGTAAGGCACTCTGTCCTTCATCATGTAACACATCCCAACAATGCAGTCCAAATCTTTCTGCTGATTTTATAATGCACTCGTCTATTGAATATTCTGTCTGAAAAAAATTGCTGTGACCTGTCCTCCTCTCCAGGTCATTGCTTTAAAGAGGATCCTCTATGACTCAAGGTGCCTCAGGGCACACATGCAAACAACTTCTGCCCTTGCACTGTATGGCCCGAGCCCTGGAAATGTCCTCTCAGAACACATAAAGCAATTCCTACATCCCCCACTCCTTTATCTTCCTCTTTGCAAAGGCAGCCAGCTGTTGTAGTTCAATGCCCAGCTGCAATAGCTCTGGACACATCCTTCTGTTTGGTCTCCTGCCTCTGTATCTTGCAGAAAAAGTAGGATGTGGGTTCTGCCCCTACAGTTTGCCCTACACTTTGCCAAGCTGTTAGGCAGTGAAGAACACATACTGCTGCCACTCATCTTGGCCACAAGTTTTTCAAGAGATAGCACATGTCACTGTGCCTGCTATCAGTGCTTGCAGGGCTACTGACCGTGACAAGAGACCCCACTGTCAACTGGGAAAGTTGACCTTCCCCAGCACGCAGCTACTAGTGGAAATGATAACTTCCTCCTAACTTTCCTCTCTTTACCCACAGCAGAAGCATAAGGAGATGGAAATGACTCTGCTTCATATTCTGTGCTCCAGATTCCTGTAAGGCCAGCACTTCTAACACATGTCCTTTGTTGGGATCACGAGATCAAGGAGCCGTGCAGATATCCAGCTGTTTACCAGCTTCTCAATGCCACAGCTCCTTCTCCCTAAGGTCGAGCCGTGCAGATCAACGCCACAGCTCCTTCTCCTTAAGGTCGAGCCGTGCAGGGTGATCCCAACAGTCCCTTGATTGCAATGGTAGGATACAGAAAGATGATGACGGGTGGGTAGGTGAGACCTAGCACAGAATGGTTGTAAAATCACCCAGAAGCATGGGAAAGGCCGGACCCAGACACAACGGAAGGGTTAGGGCTGGGACTGACTTTACCTTCCTTATCAACTCGGAAACCAAATTCATCATAGTGGAACTCTGGCTGCTCAATGCATTCTTCTTTCTGGGGAACGTGAAGAAGGAGAACAGACACTATCACCAGTCTTGAACAAGTGAATAGAGACATGTGGATATTGCCCCATCCCACCACTGCCCACACTGTGCCCTCTGAGCAACTAGACTCCTTGCCCTTTTATTTTTGATGCCTCCCACCACCATTCCCAGCTGGAATGTGTGGTGTGTGGGTGTGTTGCACGACAACCCCATTTTACTTCTCCATGGAGTCCTGAAGCCCTGCCTTCCCACCTGTACAGATTTTCCCAGCAATAAGCACAGTATCATATCAAAATCAGAACTTCTCCACCTGGAGAGTACCACAGCCCTCCTCGTGGACTGAGGAATCCACACACACCAGCTAAAGTGGTCTCTACTGTCTGCATGTCTAATACACAGCAGTCCTCTGTTACCTAGTGCACACATACTGCAAACACTCTGTATTGCTCCATCTCCTGCCTGTTGCTTTCAGCTTTTCTCTGAAAGACAGCAGACAAAACTGGAATTTGCACCTGTGAAGCAAGCCCAAATTATAGGCCAAAGGAAATTAAGGTCCATGACCCAAATCTCAACTTTCCTCATCTGTGCTCATGGTTGGCATTGGAGGATTCACACTGGAGGTTACAACCAGGCTTTTTTAAGGACTGAAAACCTACAGATACCTCCCCTTTCCTGCAAGCTCACCTGCCCCTCCTGTGGGGTCTCTTGCAAGCATTGCACCCAGGCAGCACCCAAGAAGCATGCTTCTAGCATAGCTCCACAACAAGCTTCACTGAGCTCAACTGCCTTCAGCAAACACTGTGGGTAAGTTGCAAAATTCCACAGCTGCTTCCTTCCTTCCTGCTCTGCCCACCTGGTGACAAGTCTTGAGGCTAGCATTTCCTGCAATGAGCAAGCCATCCAGAGTAGCTTGATGGTGACAGAGGCTCCCTAGGGGTGTCAACATTTTTACAGTGGAGCAATAGTTGCAAAAGAGCAGGGCAATAATTCACACAAGTTTCTTTGTGCTTTGCAAGATCCTCTTGCAAAAGCCAGGATGCAGCTGCAAAACACATGAATTTTAAGCAGGAAACAAGCATCCACAACCAAACCACCAGAGGAAAAGTGTGCCTCTCCCTCCTTTGCCCTGTGGCTTTCAGAGACCACCAGAAATCACCAGAGTCGCTTTACTTCTGAGCAGAGCCAGAGAAAACCCCCTCCCTGCCCCACGCTGTACCTGTGTGTATTTTGCCAGGATCTCCTGAGGCCAAATGCTGGGAGTGAGTGCTGAGAAGGGACCCCCAGCAGAGGGAGTGTGATGGCCTAAACAGAAAGAGATCAACATATAGCAGTGAAAACCTGGAAGGACTCCCTTGGAAGATGCACACTTGATACAGACTGTTCCAGCAAGGGAAGGGCTCTCAGCAGTTCATCACTACTGGCACCCTAGACATTGAGACAGCTCCCACTTCACCAAGGAGCAAGTAATTTCAGATGTTTTTTCTGTATCATCAAGCAAAAGAAGTACAAAGGCAAACCAGAGTTCCCTCTTAGAAAAAAACTTCTAGGGAAGAGAAATAGTTCCATAGCATCATGTGATCTTTCTTCTGCTTGGAAAAGCTGTGTGGTCAGTGCCAAACCAGGAGAACCATTACCAAAAAAAATTACTATGGAGAAGTAAACACCTCCTTTGGAGGCACTGACCCCAGTACCAGCAGCACTCCAGAGTTCCCTGAAACTTTGTCAACCAGGCACTAAAATGGGAAATCAGAACCTCAGCAAGATGGTCAACTGCTCCCTTTGCTCCAGAAGGGCTGGGATACTGCCAGACCATGTACAGACAGCTGCAGCAATGAAAGTATGCCTATCATCTTGTTCCTCTGTGTTCAAGATAAGCACCTTTCTAGTCTCGGGTAGTGTCCCACTGAACAGCTTCCCTTGGAATAAAAGCAGACATCAAGTTTTGCAATTGAAGCAGATAAGCATGTTTCAGGTCTTCCACTGTGCATATCACCAAGAAAAATGTTTACTTGGATTTGACGTATAGTCTCCCTCAGGGTTATATATCCTGAAATAACCAGCCAGACCAGGAAGGAAGGTTTAGACAAAAATATGGGGTGGGAAAGTTGGCCACTGTAAGGAGACCTAGTTTTAGTAAAGCTTATATTTCAGTAGTCCACACTGGAACTCCAGTAATTCTTCAGCCTTCTGCCTGCCCTAGAGCTACCACTGTACAGCAAAAATCTCTCAGATCATAAAGTGAGCCACTCACTTTGGGACAGATCTTGCGAGGAGAACAGAACCAAGCAAATCTTAAGAGAAGTGGGAAGGCAGACTACATTTCAACCTCCTTCTTCCTCTGTGTTCAATGGCTGAAGCAGCTTCTGCAGGCTTCAGCACAGGGTAAAAGAAGGAACTGAGTTCACCCTAAGTGAAAAGGGTGCTGGGTCACAAAGAGTGAGGTGGTTTCCTCTCCCTCAATTTGACCAGACAGTATGTTAATGTAAAGAATGGCTCTTGGAACCGGTAACTTTCTTTTCCTAAGTTGCAGCTGAAGAAAGAACACACAACCAAACAAGAAGATAGTGTCCATTTTTGTCTGCTCACCTGACATTACGCTAGGTAAGGCCAAGCAGCAGAGGCTGTCAGCAGGTCCAGAAATGCTGTTCTCAGAGGTGTGAGGTTACTATCCTGTTATAAAAAGGAAAAAAAAAAAAAAAAAGGGTGATGAGAGAACTCAAGTAGCATCTAAGAACATGGCAGGGGACAGACAGACCCCCTCATACACAACTTCCCCCTAAAGAAAATTAAATCCCTTAGTATTTAAGTTCCGCCTCCCCCCAGAAAATTAAATTCCAGAGACTGGAATTTCCTCTTGGTTTCATACCTACCCATCAGCTAGAAAGAGCACACTGTCATTTACCAAATCTCTTGTGACAGTAACAACACTGCTGATTGAGAGAGTGTCAAAAACAAAGTCAATTTTCATCACCTTTTCCATCACATATTCTAAGTCCTGTATTTAATTATGAATACTCTGAATACACTGCCCATAGAGAAGGGGCTGGAATGGTAAAAAGGGTTTAGGGGGGTATCATTAGATGCAACAAGTCTGAAAGAGATTTTAGGAGTAGCATCACAAACCATAGGAGTAAAGTGTATTAGGCTGTGGAAGATTCTGACAAGGATTTTCTGTGATGAACTGGGCTAGGATGTCAACAACATGCTATCAAATACCTCTGCAATGAGCCAGGAGCCAGGCTCCTCTAAACTAGATCAGGTGATAGAGCTCAGAATGATGAAACAGCCCGCATAGCTCCCCTCCTTACTCTCCTGATACCAGTTCGCAGCAGATTTTTTTATAGGGGTTTTCCTGAACAACAATGGAATAGTTCAGTAATCAGAGAGAGATATTTTGGACTTTAAAAATCAACCTTATAACTCTGTGTGTGGGAGACAACAAGAGCCACCTCTACCAAGCAGGTAAAGCCAGTGCTGGGGTATATCAAGTCACTCACACTTACTTGGGAAAGAACCTGGGAGAAACTAACACCTGTACATCTGGGATGGGTCTTCCAGCTTCCCCCTTCCAGTAAAGCTACTTAGGACTGCAAAGAAAAAAAAAAAAAACACTAAAAGAAGAAACCCCAGGGATTCATCCAGCAGGTCCTGAGTTGTTTATAGTGCTCAGGAGTACAAGATTATATAGCCACTCACTGCTTCTCAGTGAGCTTTCCAGCAAGCACTCACAGCCTGGAAGTGGCTTGCTACAGCACTCCAAGATAAGCAGCTGTAAAACATTGCAAAAGCATAAAAAGCATCTGTGTCTGAGAACACAAATGATAAGGCTTCTTCCTCCAAAATTTAAACAGTTCTCTGCATGAGAAAGGCTGTCATGGATGAACAGATACTCTAATCTTTGGACACCAACTCTCAGGGCAAAAAGAAAAAAAAAAAGTTCAGCTTTTCTTTCTGAGAAGTAACATTGCCCACACAATGGCCAGTCATTACCCATGAGTTCCATAAACACTCTTCTATCCTTCCCATCACTCTAGCCCCACTTGTTCTCTTAGCACCAACTTTTCCCTCAGTAGCTGAAGACACAACACACATTACAAAATGAGCACCTGCACACTCATTTTAGATGGGAATGCAGACAGCATGCACACCAGGCAGGTAAATCTGCTGACAATACTTATCCCCCTTCCAACATCACTGTAAATGTATCTTGATGCTTTTTTTTCAGGCTTATCACCACCCTGCAACCACAGCTGCTCTGCTCCTGAGCCTGCAGTATGTCCTTCTCCCCTGCCTTCTCTCAGCCCAGATAACCCTGTTTCAAATGACTTTTATTAGGAACACAGTCACTGTTTCAGCCACGTGGTACGTCTGCCATGCTTCTCGCTGCCTGCGCTCTGAATCTGCGCTCAGAGCCTCAAGCTTGTGAGTAGGGATCCCCCTCGGTCACTATGAACCTTCATCGCGTGCACAGTCACTGCTGAAAGCGTGTTAGGCACGTAGATGAGACAACACCCCGTAACAAGGGAGTTAGCCACAGTGCTTGGGAAGCAGGGCAGGAGAGTGCTGAGGCCGAAAGCCCCTCCTCATCCCAGGACAGGTGTAGCAGAGGGGAGCACCTTCCCTCGTCCACGTCATGGCAGGCTGGCCTCCGCCTTGCTGAAGATCGCTCCCCTGCCTGCTGCCTGCCCTCCTGTCCCTGACATTAGAGCACTCAACTTGATGGGCAGGTTTTTCCTGCCCCTGGTTCCTGTAGAAACCTTCCTACAAGCACCCGTCTGGGAGCGGGACCAGAGACAGTGCTCAGACAGAGGCTCACCCTTGCCCGCGGTGTGCACAAGTGTGTATCACACCTCCTGCTGGGGCACAAGGAGGTGGTGCGCTGGGGACTGCCCATGGACCCAGGTGTCTCCAAGAGAAGGTGCTGAGGCCACTGCACCAGCTCTGTAGGTCTTCCATCACCCTGCTTTCTGCCCACTCCCACTCTGCCTCCAGTAAATCATCACAGGAACGGGGAGGAAGGCTCCCTGGGACAGCCAGGCACCACCCAGTGCAAGCCAGGAGGAGGGTATCTAGCATATGGGATTGATGTAGTAAGTTCTCTCCTTTGACGGAGGGACAGAAACCTAAAGCAACTCTCAAACTCTCCTAGTGAGGAGACAGCAAGTAACAAAAGGGGGTCCCACCAAGCCTGTGAAATTGCATGCATAAAATTGCTACAGCTAATTTAGTTGTGTTATTTGCACAATACACACTTCTGAAAACGAGCAACAGTAAGGGATACAAAGGAAAAAAACACATCAGATCCAACAAATATTAACGACAACTCCCAAATCCTCAAAACCCCAAAATTAAAACCAGTTTTCACCCATGCATTAAGAAGCCATGTTTAAAGGCAATTTAAGTTTCCCATGTGAAGGAATTTTGGTCATGGAACAGGTAGTTTTCACACTTTGAAAGAAACTTATTTTTTGTTAAAATGCAAAAGGTACCTGTTATTTGCAGCTTTACTTTTTGAGTTCAGACTCTAAAACAAACCACACCACCACCGATTCCAGCCTGCTAGAAGACAGCTGTAATGACAGTGTGTGCAACTGGAAAAGAAGACTGCAAGGGAAGCACGCAGTCAGCATCAGGTACAGCTACTTGAAGCACTCCAGCCGCAACACCTTTGTTGGAGTTGCGAATACACACCACGCAGAATTATGTCCAATTAGTTTATTTTCCAGTGTAGGTGTCCTTTACAAATTGATATTTGCAAAGAAGACCTGCAAATTCATTTCTACTTGGCAATATCAAGCCTCCTCTGGACACGCTTGCTCTTCCACACAGCTGTGAGAGGAGAGATTTCAATTACCTGGCTCCTTGCAAACACCAGATAACAATCTCCTGCTGCCTATGTTTGACTTGCTTGGCCTCTTTTGCCACATTATCTCCACTTAAGCCTGCTGTGATAGCACCTGGATGTGCTAGGCATGATCTGACACATTTCAGTCCAGAGCCTTTCAGTAGGATTTTTATTTTGGGACAGAAACTCCTTCCCGGGGGCGTTCTCCCCCTGCTGATTCTAGCAATGAAAAAAATAAGAATCCACTAAAAAGCAACATACCTCTAGCAGACAGACTGCAGAAGATGAACATTTTAGAAAGCAATGTTTTTGTACACTGAAAACGTTACAGCTAGTAACTGTGCAGGAGCCATCACTGAACATCATCAGAAGGACAAGAACAAGCATAACAATTCTTTCTAGAATGATTTTCATCAACTGTCATAGGAACAGCGTATGCAACACTTCCTCTGACAGTAAGCTAGCACGGGGAAAAACTCTGCTTTCCATTACGCTTAATTTGAGCACGAAGCAACACTGCATGCAGTAACTCCCACCGTCACCTCTGGACTGTCAGCTGGTTTCCACTGCTCTCTAATATCTTCCTTTATTAAAGAAAACATACATTTTGGAAGCGACAAAAGCGATTGCAAAGCCACAGCACTCATCCGGAGGCCAAGCACTTAGGTGTAGATCTAGAAGCCTCTTCCAGCTCAGCGTTTAACATCCCGTGTAGATTGCATCCAATTTAACATTTATAGACTGACTCTTCCTCTCTCCAACAAAAATCAGACCCTGCACTGAACCAGGAAGTTCATTTCTGTCCTCTCACACCTGGAAAGCTTAGTTTTCCTAATCAAAATCCTGACTTGCCCAATGAAGCGCACAAGGGGAGCGCTCAGCGGGAAGCCCTTCGCCTCCCCTTCCCCCACTGGTTGCTCCTTCAGGCCAGGCAAAGGCATATCCCGGAGCTGCAAATGCCGCTAGTCCCACGAGTCAATATTTGCTTTGCACACACACAGTCAGAAGAAAACGACGGCTTCACAAACAAGTACGTAAGTGAACAAAGCACAGCCAGGCACCTGACCAAGGGGTGGACAAGATGCAAGTCACTTCTGTCCCTGACACCCTGGCTTTTTAAGTGATGCAGGGCCCCACACAGACACCGACACGCACCAGCTCCTGGTTAAAGAGTCAACACGGTACTGGTGAACCTGAGTCATTCCAGGAGGTATCTTTAAGGTGTACAAACCACGACCAGCCTCACGCTGCTCTGGCTGTTGAGCAACACACTACAAACATGGAGGCGGGGGTGCTGAGGTGGTAGCCTTCACGCTGCTTTCTGCCGCATGACTTGGAATGAGAAGTTGGGGGACTTCAACTGCCCTCAGCCCACTTCTCGTAGCAGAGAAAGTGCATCAGAGATAAAAGGCTACGGTAGGCCCAGAAAGGGGGACACAAGATCTGGAAGGCAGCAAAGGTGAGGGCCTTGCAGAGCCAGGTGGGCAGGCAGGAAGGATGGCAAGCTGCTGACAGCGTTATGCCACTGACTGCAGAGGCGTCACTCAGGACTCCAGCGCTGCCCAGTCACCAACTGGGATCACATACTGACCGCAAGAGTGTGACGGGGCAAAGTGCCTCCTCCCAACTGCCCCAGGGCACTATTACAGCAACACATAACAGAAACAACAAGAAGTAAAATGGAAATCTGTGTCTCCTACCATAAAGCACCTTGGAGGCTCCTGGCCACATTGAAAATCTAATTCTGTGCAGAAATGTAACTAAAAGGTACTTCCAAGCAACAGACCTGCTCCCTGCACCGACCAGTGCCCAGCATATCTGCCTGCTGTAACAAGAGAGAGCCCCACTGGAGCTGAAGGTGCTGAGCCATTTCCAGTTTATACAGAAGGAACAGAACAAGGAACTTCCAGTTTCACATCCATTTCATCTCCATTTTGAAAATATGGATGTGAAAAAGCAGAATTCTGGTTCCTACCACTTATGCATTGGACAGACAGACCACAACTGGACTCCCTGATTGTAGTTCGATGTGTAAAGCTTACCTCTCAAAAAACCCTTTCACAACACCTACTTACATATCAGCATGTATTTTCTTTTCAGAGCAGAACTGCCTTTTATTTATCTGGCTCCAAAGCAGACAGTGGATCCTTTATGCCGGAAAAGGCTGAAGCTCTTACTTCTAAAACCTGCAGATAACAAAGGCTTCCCCCCCATGTGGCTCATGAAAAAAAAAAACCGCAAACAAACCAGAACCAAACTTACTTATGGCTCTGCTGATCCCCTGTGTTGCAAACACTTTTAGCCCTGGAGAGTATACAGCATCTATCCTTACACGGCAGACACTTGGTGCCTGCTAAGCATGAACTGTACTGCTGTGAAGAACCCCTTGTTTGCCAAAACCCTCGGGCTCAGAGGCAGAGAAGTTTCCCCTTTCCCAGTGCTCCCATTATTTGAGTGGTGAGAGGATATGTGATGGGAATATAGAGTGCTCCTCCCATCTCACACAGGAGGATTATAATAGGTCAAGCACTGGAACAACAGTTGTTTTTTTTAATCTGCATTGAATGAGGATGGAAAAAAGGTCAGGATACAAACTAGCAAGGTGTCCACTGTTGCTGCACACCAAAAATTCTCCTTGCTTCCAACATAGAGAGAAAACACACACGTGTCAAAAGGCAGGTCTGCAACTACTCTAGTCTTCAAGGCTTGGGGTAAAGGTGATTCCACATTAAACACCGCTACGCAAATACAATCCAAAGGTTTCTGATTAGGGTCTAGGAGGGCCCCAAACATTTCTTCAGTGAGAGTCAATTTCTGCACAATAAATGGACACTTTCACTCAAATAAGCACAGAACTCTGCAGGAACTCATTTTCCCCAAAACTCTCCAGAAGTGATTTTTATCTCCTGGTCCATGAACTTCTGCACGTCTGCAAACTATTCATAAGATGTCTGCAGAAGATAATGGCAACTGTCCAGTTTCATTTGCTATACAGAAGTTTGTTTTTCAAAAGCATATCTGTTAGAGATGCAGGGTTATACCAATCTATACCAATCAAGGAAAGGTTGAAAGACACTACTGATGGTTATTTAAAGACAGATATTATGACGTCTTTTACATGACACTCCTACCCTAAGCAGTGACAAGCGGTGCCATCCGAGGCTCGCTCCATCACGTCCACAGCCAGCCCTGCATGCACCCTCCTGGTGAAAGTTTTATTCTCAAGCTGGTCTCATCCTACTGCTCCCAGTGACAAAGGAACAACAGCCTGAAGAATGGCTCTTCCTTGATACGGCCTCTGACGGATCCACAAAGCTTTAGCTGGTCAGGGTTTGCCATTCTCTTGGTGAAGCGCAAGAAAGGCTAGCCTCCAGGCCACACTCCTGTAGCTCTGCTGTATTACTATTTGCTCTATTATTTGCAAAAAAGAAAAAATCAGATTCGCCTAGCAGTACTCTAAGCAGGTCTCACTCCATTTGTGTCCAGAAAATGACTTTTTAAGAAAAGCATATCCCATAGCACTCAAGATTTTCTCCTTCAGGGCTCTGTCATCTTTCCAGAACTCAACTTTCTGAAGAGGCTAGTAACATCCAAAACACCTCTCAGGACTGTTTGCAAAGCTCTTACCTAGCATGTTGTGTAAGACTACTTTAGATCTTGTTCCTGCAGAAATTTATAGGCACAGATAACTCAGAGGAAAAAAAGCAAAATACACAATGGTCGTTAACATTTGTAACAAAACAAGACAACACCCCCTCTAGTTCCTGTTTCAGGGGATCAGGAAGATTTCTTCTCCAGAACAATAGGGCTGTCAGGTTATGGACATTTTCTCTCATCTCTGAATCATCAAGTACTTCCCAGCCAAGAAATACTGCACTGACTGGGCAGTGACTATGGTTCTCATAATCATACTAATACCAATATGCTATCTTCTCTTCTCCTATCTCATAAAACAAATGTGCTTTTATTTCATTTCTCTCAGTTTTTTTTCTTCTTAAGCCAGAAACAGAATTACTGATATAACTTGTTGCACTCCAGTTTAAAAAACAGCTGAGGCTTCCTCAGAGACAAAACAAATGTGGAAGGACAACATCCTCCTCTTCCCTACCTGGTGTCAACAGTAATACAGCTGACAAGTGCTATTTTCCCCAATGCTCCCCGATACTTACCATGTGTAAGCTTCATGTACCTAAAATCTTGACCGTGTGATGAAACGTAGCATAGCAAGAAGATGAAACAAGTCTTTGTGTTGCTGAGGATACAAACCTGAAGTGCCAACACCTCTCCATCTCCTGAGGGACATTTGGGATACTGCACTCGCAACACACAGTGAAGTTATTTGTCTACCTCATCCTAGAGACAATTGCAAAATTTCTGTATCCTATCTATTTGAGCTATGACAGGACCTAGGACAACGAGCGTGATACAGATCACCGACTAGGATCACCACTGATTTAGCTAGAAGAGCTGTAAGGCCACATACACCACAATAAAGGTGCGCCTTACCTTTATCATTGAAGATAAAGTTGCAACACTCCTTAGGATTTATTTTTTTAAAGTTTTCTTTCCTTCTCATGTTTTGGTAAGAAGTTTGCAATTAACAGCCAGGAAGAGAGACGTCATCCCAATCATTTCCAAAGCAGTTACAACCTCAAATGCGGTATCACTTGGGAGGGAAGAACTCACCAATTCCTTTGTTAAAGCATCCCAAATACCAAATGTGGTAAGCAATTTTGCAACACAGAAACCAATTCACTAAGAATGGGACTGAGCCTGGCAGCTCATTTCATACAGATACCTTAACCAATAATGTTTACTGTTACCAGAGACTTGAGACTGCCAGCTCAAGTAAGAGACTTTGATTTTTTAAAAGCTAAATATTTTGATTATTGCCTATCTTTTAAGATCATCAAGGTCCTTTAGAACACTGATACGTGCAAAAGACACCATCTTGCAGGAAAGCAGGGAACACGTCAGAAGCACAGCAAAGAAGAAGAGCCTAAATGACACTAGCAGAGACCCAAAATTGGAGAATCACTTCAGTCCTGAGCAGGTGTGCAGTACTTCCCTCACTTCATTTAACTGATGTTAACTCTATCATCCTCTGATCAGTGCAGTACCTCTAGAAATATGTCCCTCCTCTCTGCTGCCCTCATGGATTCCCTTCCTCCTTCTTTGGAGGAAGTTGCTATGAATGACTCTCCCTGAGATTACCAAGACACGTTATCAAAACATTATCCTAAACTGGAATTAAGAAAGGTGGCACCTGTTATTTTAATCTGTTAAATACAGAATTAACATAACTTTATATTAATATGAAACAACCCATCCCCACCCTGACCTCTTTAAGTACGTCATGCCTCTTCTTGCACCCTTCCTTCCCTTTTACTTTGTGAATTCCCCAGGGTAGGAATCCAGCCTTTGTTTCTGCATAGGAAAAGCCACACACAGAGCATGCACATCTGGAAATACATAATGAAATAGATGTTTGCTCCAGTGATTGTTTCTTTCCAGCACACTACTCCAGACTCTGTAGCAGCTGAAAAACTACTCTAGAGTTCAGATTTTTCTGGCAAGCAACTGTATTCCGATCAACGTCTTGGCAAAAGCACAGCAGAACCTCACTCCTGGTAGTTCCTTCTTCAGTGATTTTAAGATCCAGCCTCTCACTACTGAACACCTACTGTTCTTATTTCCTGGAAGACTGCTTCTCTCTCCCATCTATTAGCACTAAAGGATTCTCCATTTCCTCAAAGAACTTTTACTACTCTATTCTCACCAAATGTCACAGCAAGCCATGCAGAGTAAGGCTAAGATATCATGAAGTAGAAAGCTATGACATCACATAAAAAAGCCACATACACAAACACTGAAATCTACTTGTTTGGAAGGAAAGTACCCGCCTAAATTCACACATCCCTGCAAAAATAAGGCAGGAAGAAAAGCAGACACAGGGAAAAAAATTTTCCTGTCCCACCCTTACCAGCTCTGTGAAGAGACAGCAGCTGTCCCGGAGCCCACAGCCACCGCCTGCAGAGAGATTTAAATCCGTGTCACGGCGGTTCTTCGCTCCTTTGAATTTACGTCACCAGGTACGAGGAATTACATTTGTCTCACAACTTCCTTCTAATATTTATTACAGCTGACAATCACAGGGCCTGCAGTGTCTCTATTTATGCCCGCTGCCTAAGGGATACTGCCATATTTCCATCTCTGCTTCGTGACTGTTCCTTCTGCCCAGCCAGCCAGGACAGACTGTCTCTCCTCTGGGACCCCTCCGAAAAGATGCCAGTGTGGAGGGCAAACGCGGATGGCGGAGCCGGACGGATGAGACCACCCGAGAGTCGCAGCCGCGGGAAGGAGTGAGAGGCG